AAAAAGAAAAAAAAAAAAAGGTTTGCCGCGGTTTTTTGTTGATACTGAGCCTGGCTCCATTTACGATACGATACGATAAACGATACGGTACGAGATGTGGAGCAAAACGATACGAGATATATTTACGATCCGATAACCATGGTAATTACCTGTAAATCTATAATTGAAATTCAGTCATTGTAAATAATAATTTATGAATTCTAACCCCAATTTGGTAATTTTTATTTTTATTTCTAATAAAGGCATTATGGAACATTGGTGCACTAGACAAATCATAATCATCTTAAAGATATAATGTTTTGGAATAATAACTCTATTGAATATCAATCTCAAATTATTTACAATAACTTATCGTTTAAATTATAAAATTATAATGTGTAGTAGGTCGATCGTTAATATATTTTATTATTTTATACATATAGCTCTTGTTTGGTTGGGAAGATTAACTATTATTAATTAAATAATTGGACTTTATCCGATGTTTGGTATCACCAGTAATTTTTTCTCTGATCGACCCGCAAATATTATATTATCATAAGTTATGCTACTTTATGTTGCTTCTTAAAGAGTTTTTTTACTGGACGTGCTCGAATCCGATAAAATAATTGAATTTTCATTAAATTATTTAACATTATATTAATCTTATCTTGGCAACAAACGAGACTATTCTACTATAGAATAGCTTCAAAACTTTAAATAACTCCACAAGATTGCTTAACTATATTTGTAACTCAATTAGACACTACAAAAATGAAAAGAAAAAAAAAAGTGAAAAACTTAAAATAGTTTAACCTTAACCTACCTAACTCCGACAACCGTACACATTTTAACTGCTACAGTAAATTAACCCTATCCTACGGTTCAACAACTTCGAACCGCGAAACTCGAACCGGATTCAACCACCACGCGCCACCTCCTTTTTCAGGCGCATCTCCACAACTTTCCGGTGACTGTTCGAATGTACTTCCTGTGAAAACGTCGGGCTACAAGCCGGTCTATACTCGGGGAATAGCCGACCGGACTTGAACCGGACTCCACAAGCGTTGCACAACGTTTTCGGGCCGAGCGGCCCGGTTCGCCACTGAGGAGTCTTCTGAACTTGACAGTGCGTGCACCTTCGCCCGGAACCCGAACCGCCGTCCGCCTCCGGTTTTTTTTTCTGAACCGGCGCTGTGAAGAAAAAAGTTGGTACTGGTACCACGGAGGAACCGTGGGAAGAGGACGTTGGAGATGAATCCACGCCGGCGCTCAACGGCGGAGACGACAGGTACCACGGCCGCCGGCCGGTCGTCCTCGACCGTTTGCTCCTCTGTTTCCTCTGAACCGGAAACGGGAGGAACGGGAGCCGGATCTTCTGGACCGGTGGTTTGGTCACCTTTTCAACCCGGTTGCCGGTGAAACTTCCGGCGGGGCATAATAAACTCAGCCCCGAAGTAGAGTCGTCCACAAATTGCGACAACCACTCCAGATTTTCCAAATCGTCGACCTAATCATTATTTAATTTCCAAAAAAAAAAAAATTCAATTTTCACCACAATTAATTTAATTAAAATTAAAATTAGGTTAAATAGCTACCGGAACGGCGAGTTCAGCGGCGGAGAGGCTGGGGAATTCGTCGGCGCCGGAAAAAGCGGAAGGAGAGTGGCTCGAATTAATCTCCTCTAGACCTACTTTTGCTTCGGCGTCGTCCTCTAATTGGGATCCGTGAAACTCCATTTCGGAGAAATCGAGGTTGAGTAGGTCTTCAACGGGGAACTCGTCGGAAGAAACGGTGTTGACTCCGGCGAAACACCAAACGTCGTCGTTGCAGAACGCCTGTGAATTCGTTTTTATAGCCATTTGCGATAGGAAACTCGATTTCAGGGCTCTGGTCTCTATGCACTCCATTTTTTATTTTTATTTTAATTTTGTTCGAACTACAGAAATTAAAAAATTAAACAAAAAAAGAGAAAATGAAATTAATTATTAATTAAAATAAAAGTGAAGAATTATGCAGAGGATAAAAACGACGGTGAAGAAGAAGAAGTGGGTGAAGACAACTGAAATGTGGGCTTGTTCGTGGGCGAAACTGGTGGTGGGTTAATGGCACTTCTTTATTTTCCTTTTTTATGTTTTAATTATTATTTATATTATTATTATTTTAATTTTATTTTTTAATATATTTTTATTATTATTATTCTTTAGTTTTGCATGTAATATAATTGCATGAACTTTGCGAGTACCGACAGAATCCAGAGTTTTTCACGAGGATTTTTCTTTCACTGACAAAAAGTTTCAAGTTATGGAATGATTCCAATTAGCGTCAGATTTTTCTTTTGAATAGATCTAAGCAAGATTTATATATAGGGGCTCTTTGAGAAAACCCCCTCACTACTTTTTTTAATTGAGGGAGGCCCAAAATATTTTAGTCCGTTTGAGAAAAGTGCACACCCATTTCCAGCCATTATGTTTTCCAGCTTTACCCCCGCCCGCCACCTCATCCGCGATTTTTTTATTATTTTCCGTTTTTTTAATCGACTATGAAGCATAGTCGATTAGTCTTAAATCGACTATGCTTCATAGTCGATTAAGGAAAATCTTTAATTTTTTAATTTTTTTTTTGTTTCTAATTTTGTTTTTAATTTTTTTTTTGGTTTTTTTAATTTTTTTTCTCTATCAGGTTTATTAATGCATACTCGATTAAAATTTTAGCTATTAAAAATAACAAATCACAATTACAAAAAAAATGCAAAATCAATTATATTTAAAAAAAAATACAAACATTGTAATTGATTTATACATTGGAATCAATAAACAAAAAATCAAAAAAAAAAAAAAAATTGAACAACTAGAGTCGGTTAACTTAATCGACTACTGAACATAGTCGATTAAGCCTTAATCGACTATTGAACATAGTCGATTAAACCACGTAGTCGATTAAGGGCCCTGCCTGCGCGAATTTGTTTTTTCTGCGCGAATTCAGCAAATCCATCGGAATCTTCCACCCAAAACCACCGCCGCCAGCAGACCCATCGCAATCCTCCACCCATATCATAAATGCGACAAACTTTAAACAGTAATTAAACCATAAATCAAACACCACTAATTCTACAAACACCAAATTAAACAAAAACGAAGGCCGTCGTCGGGCTTCAAACAAGTGAAAGCATGGTTGTTAAATTGCAAATCGAATCGTAAAAACACGAAAATCATTTTGCTATTTAAGAATTGCAAATCACCGAACCGTAAAAAAAAACTGTATAAAATCACGGTAGATCGAAAAGGCAGAAGACTCGAAACGAATGGCAACAACAAAATTTCAAACCAGAAGAAAAGGGAAAAAATACCTCAGCTTCTGCTGATTTTGTGTGTGTAATTTGTGTGTGTGTGTGTCTGTGTGTTTGTGTGTGCGAGAGAAAGAGGAGAGAGATAGAGAGAGAGAAGAGATAATATTTGTGTGTGTGTGTGCCTGTGTGTTTGTGTGTGCGAGAGAAAGAGGAGAGAGATAGAGAGAGAGAAGAGAAAGAGGAGAGTGAGAATGTGACGTGGGTTGGTTGGGGAAGAGGCCACAATGGTACAACTTAGTCAATGGCTATAATTTAGGGGTAATAAGGGTGATTTGGGAATTATTAAATAATATTTGGGAAGAATATTAGGTAAGGGGGTTTTCTCTAATTAGTTTTGGGAGGGGGGGTTTTGTTAACTCATTTACCTAGATGAGGGGGGTATTGCTAATTATCCCTTATATATAATAGGTTAAATTACAACCAACCCTTGAGGTATTGTCAAATTACGAAAACTCCCCTCCTGTTTGGGTAATTACAACCACCCATCAACTATAAATTTTCATACATGTCCACCCTTGCGGTTTCAAATTTAGTTGAATCTTCGAGATTATATGAATATTATCACTTTTTCACCCGTTTTATCTCGTTCGAACTTCACATTTTGAAGCAAGATGATCATAATATGTGTTTTTTGGCTCGTATATGTCAGATTGTGGTGCATCAGAAACTGTATTCTTACACAAAACGAGCACAAACGCACATTCCACGAAATCTAGATGATTATTTTGAATTTGACACCATAAGGATGGAGGTGTAAGAAAAAATCATAGTTGAGGGGTAGATGTAATTATCCAAACAAGAGGGGTTTTTTCGTAAATTGACCATACCTCAGTGGGGTGGTTGTAATTTACCCGATATAATAAGGGGGTAATTGTATATAAGGGGCAAATTATGTCATCACTGAGTTATGGTCAAATTACGAAAAACCCATCATGTTTGAGTAATTACAGCTACACTCTTCAACTATGTATTATATACGAATAGACCCCTCCAGAGGTAAATTTAGGGATGTTAATTCGCTAAAACCAAACCATAAATTCGATACGCCAACATTTCATACCGTTTACCGAACTAACTATACGATTTGGTTCGGTAATACCGAAATACATAAATTATCTAAAAAAAATTAAAATGAAAGGTGATTGTAATTACCCAAACAAGAGGATTTTTTTTTTGTAATTTGACCATAACTCATGGGTGACGTAATTTTTCCATATATATATATATATATATATATATATATATATGTGCACATATAGATTCAATTCGATTTACGATTTGAATTTTGAAGGGATTGAACTCATTGACTCAAGTTCAAATCATCTTTGTAACAGTCGCTGGTTCGATCTTATCACACATGGTTAATAATAGATAAATATAATAATTTTAAGGGATAATTAGCAATACCCCCCTCATCTAGGTAAATGAGTTAAGAAAAACCCCCCTCCCAAAAATAATTAGAGAAAACCCCCTTACCTAATATTCTACCCAAATATTATTTAATAATTCCCAAACCACCCTCTCACTCTTATCTCTTCTCTCTCTTTCTCTCTCTCTCTCTCTCCCCTCTTT